ATTTTTATTTTTCGACGAATCATTCCATTTTCATGTGTCCCTTTCATTCTAGCATTCGATCATTATTTGCATTATTAATAGGTTATAATTTATATTCATATTTCGTACCCAGCCTTCCAGCTGGGTACTTTCCTCATTGCAGCGACGCAAGATTTACGAACATTACTTCATCCGTAAACAGATCTCGTTCGTGCCAGATGTAAGCCTAGTCAAAGGCAGGCTTGAGACCATGTTACGTAAAACTCAGATAAGAGATGCGGACCCATTTCAAGCTCACAATTAATTCATCTTGGCAACAACTCGTACAGAACACCGAAGCAGTGCGCTGAACATTTGAAGAATTTCTTTTGTGAGTTGACTTCGCATTATCTGCTTGTTTGATTGATTGACTGAATTTCCGGGCACCTCAACGGCTATGGCCGTTGGTTTAATCCCCGGTCCCTGTTTAGTAATGTTATATGGCGGGAGGTGGCGGTGTCCCTCTGGACGGTGAGATCCGACGCTGACCTAAGCGTCGGCTTGTAGGATTTCCCCCCTCCAATTATCTCCAACAGTGGGGCACCGCCGCCACCGGACCAACTCGAAGCACCCGACACATGTGGTAGTGTAGTGGCATGTAAGTGTAGGTTTTTATGGCGTGCGTGATTCGTGGCCCTTAAAATACTGCCCTGGCATTTGCCTTTTATTGACCAAAGAAACCACGGGAAAGTATGGAATACTTCAGCCGGTCGCTAGAATTCTCCCCCACGCAGCGGTTGAATTCGAGCTGAGCAGCTTGTGACGAAAAGTCGTCAGCGCCGGGATTCAAACTCTAGGAACCCCCGGGTCCGGTCAGAGGCGCGGCAGAGGCAGCGACGATGTTGGCATGGCAATGTTCTGAGCCCACTCAGCTGGTCATTTCGCCGGAAATATGTTCTAATCAGTAAATATATGTTAATACATTAGGTCTAAGAAAGCCGTCTCAATAGCTGAGTCGTCAGAGCAATGGGGTAAACCATGGGTCGATTCCCGGGTGCTGTGAATATTGCTTTAATTTTTTTTAATAAGATCAGCAGCTGGTTGCTGCTTTACATTACGTTGTTGACATGTGTTACTTGTTGTACATTCTCTTTTCAGATGAACGTAACAAATTAAATAACAAAGGAAAACGGATTATAATATACAATACAAAGGGAATGTAAATATTTACACGGATACAATTTCTTCCATATACAAATACGAGAATTGGTTTTGTGAATGGGAGGTGTGGGTTTCCTCATGCCAACTGATGTGTATTAAATATTTTATTAGGGGGAAGGAATCGGCCTTTGGGAAATTTAGATTTAATTCTAGGATTTGGTAGACCATTTCTATTGAGATTGAATATGTTTGAGCTTGGGCACTGAATTAGGTTTGCTTACAAAATTGTTTCAGAGATTACGTATGAATTCTTATAGGGGTATTTTTAATTAATAGTGCTTATGCTCGTTTGAAATGTACCAAGGAGCTTTGATTGTCAGTCTAAGGAATTGTTCGGGATTGTTAGTAGCTTTTTAAATGATGATTTGGAAGCTCCTTTCCAAATCGCACAGGCATATTACATTGAGGACCTTATAATTAATTTATATGTTGACATGGCAGTTTCTGTTTTCAAATGACACTTTGTTGGTGAGCGGTTAAAATTTGCCAGTATTTTTAAAATTTGATTTTATTTTCATTTTTTGTAGATTTTTATATATTCATTGTATGTTCTTTCCATGTTAATACAATGTCAAAATGTAAGTCAAGATATTTAATCGCTCTATATTTGTCTTTCCAGGGTATTGGAGAATCTAAATTATTTAGTGGTGGTAAGATGGGTCTTAGTGTAAAGACTTTGCAAACCGTTTTAGACGCGTTTAGAGCTATTCTCCATTTCTGTGTCAAGATTACAATTTTTTAAGATGATCTTGTGGGAGTTTTGCTCCTCGTTCGCAGTTACTAGAGCAGATAAACAAGGTGGTGGCCATTTAAAATTTTACAGCCGCGGAGAACTCAACTGTGTATATGTTATATAAGGGGGAGAGAGTGATGATCCTTGCGTTATTCCTGCATATATATTTTCATTGTTTTAAATAAATTCAATTGTTAAATACAATCGCTACACAATAACGCAATAAAGTCGCATCGAAGATATTTACTAGTCGGAACCTATTTCCGTCGTGATGGCAAAGTGGTGGCTACCGAAAACTTGAACTTTTTACATTTTAGTATTTTATTCCAATACTGCAGAACAGTAGTTTCTTCCAATACTTTATCATCAGTTCATTATTACAAAAACGAATACTATTTTTTTATCATTGAAGAACGATTTTTAGACAAAAACTAGTGGTGTAATTAAAATGTTGCAATTTCTGTCCATTTAACACATTCCAGTCATCCCCTTTAAAAAGTCATTACCAATCGTAGTGCATTTGGCGCGAAAACTTGAGCTAATACATTACCACAATTCGACAACCAAAACTTTCATCCATTCACTCAGAAAAACACCGAGCATATAAAGAACATATTTTGCAACATATAGAATTTAACCAAATAATCCCCATCATTAATAGTGTTCTTTGGCATGTAGGTGAGCGTATGTGCGTGTAAGGCAATGATAAAAATAAGCCAAAAGCCAAAAGGCGTTGGCCAAAATGCAAAGGCGAATGCGGAACACCTCCCAAGCTGATGAGACGAATTGAAGTCGAAACAGTATAGCAAAAGATGACATAGGCGTCAGCAACTAGCAAGCATATTCTTTGGCGTCTATGTCATCGTTTGTTATACTGTTTCGACTTCAATTCGTCTCATCACCTTGGGAGTTGATGAGATCAGCAACATGGCTGACCGCATACCCAAGGATAGTAGTGGGGAAATTCTGGAAACCTTAGGATCGATAAAAATAATGACTTCATTAATGTAGCTTTTCCACCAGAGACCAGATTGTAGACGTGTGTGCCGGTGAGAGCGCATAAGAGTGACAAACGCAGAGGCATACCCTCGTATTCAGGCGCCCCTGACAGGATACTTGAAGTTAGGTTTGTTGTTATTTATTTTAACGGGTGTTCTCTATGTAAATAGCACCCCTTGTGAGTGGCGCCCATGGCACGTATTCTGTCTGCCATAGAGTAGATAATCCTCTGGTCAAACATGCATTTAGATGAGTTACTCCAAGAAGGGACAAGTTTGACAGCTTGGGAACCATAATGAAAGTGATGCAGGGCAATGTCAATGCAAGAGATCATAATGAATTCATTTTCAAACGAGCGCACTGACAAAACGGGTGCATAATCTGCAGTTGTTGCCCACAGTGGCCAAGCAGTAGCTGTCAAAGCCGTCTCTTCTTATAATAATCTCTCTCCATTACTCGCGCAACTTTTCTTGAACGATGGATAGAAGAAATGCGGGTAGAGTGGGGGGTATTAGTTACGAAATCGGCCACTAGATTTTATGAAGCAATGCCAATCTCCGGAGAATCAGTCATGCCTTCGCAACTTTCTCAATAATTTGCGTTCTAATTTTCTCAGGAGTTCGAGGTATTTCCTGTGATGAATCTTCACCTGCTTTAGTGATTTATTTAAAATTTTTGGATAAGTTCTCATCTTCAACGGAAAATAGTTTCTATTTCGCGCCAGTGAAGATGGGTTTGTAATGTCATTAGTGCACGCTGCGAGCTTTTGTCTTCAACTATTTATTGTGTCAGAGAGGGGGAAGCAAGGTCATCGTTCAAGAACAGTTGCGCGAGTAATACTAAAGGCCGCTCCACAATAGCCCTCGAACGGAAACGGCAAAGCGAAGGCGAGGACGGGAACGCAAGATACGCGTGCTTCACAATAAACGTCAACAGGAAGATGAATAGCGCTATGAACCTGAACCGGCAAAAAAGAGAACTTCAAGAAACGGTTTCCGACCCCATGTTCTTCTAGCTCCTCTGCTCTCTTCACTCTTGGATTTGCCATCTGTCTCTTGGGTTTGCGTGTGCTACTATGAATAACAAATTCTTGAACGAAAAAATATTTCTTAGAAAAAACAAAATAATAATGAAAAATGCAAAAACTGTTACGAACTTTCGGAAAATACAACTTAAATTTTATCAAAAAACAACTCCAATGTACTTAATTCTTGAACTTTTAAACTTATCTTAGGGTAAGTTTATACAACTTGTACTGTGACTAGTGTGTTTCCTAAGGTGTATTTGTTACGTTACAGCAATACAAAATCGTTTGTACAATTCATATCCGTGTTGTATTCTTCTTAAAGTTGAGGGTCGTTCGGGTGATATCGGACAAAGTAGAATCGAGTGGTAACAAACAGTTACTACTTCGTCTTCTAATAATTTTTCTGTATAGTGTGTATGTTAAAAGAAATATTCGAATACCAATGTTGATTTTGTCCGTCTTCCAGGAAACTATGAGTAAAATTCGCGGAAATAATATGAAGACAGCCATTGTGAAGGTCACTTTAAAAGAAATGTCATGAAGAGGGCTAGTACTACATATTCTGTACCCAAGAGCACACCAGGTGATCGGGCAAAAGGAGGAGAGATAAAAGCCAAGCCCAAAAATCCATTAAAATTATTTTACCTCTATTTCTTCAGTTGTCCACTTTTCAGACATGAAAAATGTCAAAGATTTTTACTTTCCCCAAATAAACATATTTTACTTTCAAACCAAGCAACTTCGATAGAATGTATGAGTAAGAGATTAGAGTTCCATATTCTGTATTTAACGATCAATTTTAACTAATCTTAATTAAGAAATCACATTTAAAGCTACGTTGGCCGATACCACTCGACCTTCCCATAAACATTATTTCAAGGGGGAATTTTAATTCTAAGTATTAATGTGAAAAAATAATGTAACTATAAATACTAAAACGCACTTAAACAACACAACAGAGTACCAAAACCTCCTCAAACCGTAACTTTGCAAATCCACACTAAGCTCAATATCACACTACACTCAACTCCGCTCTTCTCCCGACCGCGCGTTCAGTTGGTAAACGTCGCCATTTGCTGCACTTCATTGGTGGAGAGGTTTTCCGTTCCCGGGCCAAGATAAATGTTCACCATCGTTCCTGTTCGCGTTCCCGTCAAGCTTTGCGTCCTCGTCGTGTTGTGAACGCCTGCCTGACATGGCCATCTTTCAACTTCCTTTGCGTTCCCGTTCACGGGCTATTGTGGAGCGGCCTCAAATGCTTTCAAGAGCTCAGGTAAAGTAATTGGTCTCTCTTTACAGCAAGTCGGCAATATCTACCGCAGAAATGTCTGATGAAGTACGCGAAGTGGCCGTGAGGAAGGAGGAGCTGCAAGACCTTTTGAAGAGAGGGTTAAGGACTTCTGTCATTCTAAATCAATATTCATATAAAATAGCAAATGAAAAGGGGAAGAATTATGGAAGTTTGTTACTTTCAATAGTGGCTGACGTAACTTATTTAGATACGGCAAAATCTGAAACATTACATATTTTGGCCAAATTAGCACCACCAACTGAATTCCTAAAATCTGTGTTTAATTTTCCTGTCTGTTTCTGTAAGGAAATGAATTTCTACAAACTTGTCCATCCGGCATACGCAAAATTCGAGAAAGAAAGAGGTGTTCACGAAAGAAATGTTCTAAATATAATTCCTCCCTTTTTGGGCGCACGTACTTCAATGTCTGGGGATGAAGACGAAGAAGCTGCGGAGTCTGCCATGCTTTTGTTAGGCGATTTGCGAGTGGCTGGTTACAGCATAGGAGACCAACGAGAAGGGTTAGATTTAAATCATTGTACCAGGGTTATTACCCAGCTTGCTAAATTCCATGCTATACCCATTGCCATGAAGCAGAAAGAACCCCGCACTTTCAAGGAAACAGTCATGAGAACAGGTATTTTTCATGAGGATCCTGCTTTCAACTCCTCTGCAAAGGAAAAATATAGAAATGAGTTTATGCAAGCTTTGGAAAAACACAATCCTCAACTTAGATCTTACTTTAATAAAATTGAAAACAGACTATTAGACAATGACTTGAAATTTGCCCCAGAGAATAAAGAACCGTTTTCTACATTGATACACAATGATCTTTGGACAAACAATATACTATTTTCTTATACTAATCATAATGAAGCAAGTTTTCCAGCAGATGTTAAATTCATTGATTTTCAAAATACACTGATATGTTCTCCTGTAAAGGATTTAATTTTTTTTCTATTTTCTAGTGCTGATGATGAAGTTTTAAACAAATATTATGACCATTTAATGGATGTTTATTATGACACTTTCATAAACAAGCTTAAAGAATTGCAATGTAACATACAATTTTTTTCAAAAGACAAGTTTCAGGAAGAAATTGACAATTTTGCACCTACACAATTTTATCATGTAATTTTCATGCTTGCAATAATATATGGGGATAAAACTAATGTAAAAGAAATACACAATATCACTTCATTTGAAAATGTAATGCAGTCTTGGAATGATTTATCAAAGAAAAAATTAGAAAGAACAGTAATGGCATTTGACAAAAATGGCTGGTTATGAAGTTCCTTGAAAATGTTACCTTTTCTTTACAAGAATGTTGCTGTTTACAAGCTACTTAGAGTTAATTTCATGCAGGTGACTGTGATAGTTTCTAAATTTCATTCCATGGAACCTCGATTGTTGTTGGTTCTAAATCCATAAGTAAAGATGGTTCTGGAAAAAAGAAAAGGTACAGTGGTTTATATTTTTTGTCAAATATTGTTTTTACAGAACATGTTTTTCAACAATAAAGAATGCAATATCCTCACTACATAACTGTCTCATTGCTGTAATAAAATTCAGATTCATAAAATGTCTACAGGACTTTTGTACTTCCAAAATTGTTAGTGAGCAAATACAAGAACTGAATAGAATACATTAACTTAATACAGTACAATACAATACAAAGAAAATAGTTTTCTGAGGAGTACTACCTGGCAATCATTTTGTTGAACAGTGATATTTATTGAACACATGATTTTTTTTTTGTTTTGAAATACATGAGAAATGAATGTAAGATAAATAACTTTTGGTCAAAATAAATAAAGAAATAGTGTGTGATGCTAGAAATGGTGGAGATGAAATGAAATGTTGAATTTTATTTTCTGATATATAAAAATTATGATTACATAAAAATGTAGAAATACCAAAAATCATTTATATATTTTCACTTTCTTCCTTAAACCACTTTCCTTTATCAATTTCATACAGCGTTAAAATTAACTTTCACGCAATTTTGTTTTATATTTTCCTCCCGATTGTTGACTGTATTTTAAATTATGTAACAGGAATTTACTACCTAGTCAACTTCTTCACTTTTCTGAAACACTTTTGTAACTAAAAAACAACAAAAGTTTATATTTCAAGGTGAATTGTACAAAAAATTATCATTTGTATGAGGAAGAAATATTTCACATCCATTGCCATTAGGTGACAGATGCATAGCTATTTCAAGGATGGAGATTAATATTTACTTTTTTTGGAATAATCTAAGCATAAATTCACATTTTTGTAAAATGCATTTTATTGAATTAAAAAAATAAAAGATGTAAACAATTTTTATACAACTTGCAAGGCAATATTACTTACAGATGATTAATTATAAGCAAATTAAGTTCCGCAAAAATTATGTTGCAATCTCTTGAATAAGACCGAATTTTTGAGTTAGATCATTCCAGAAAAGCATTCTCCTTCATTAATTCTCTCACAACGTTTTTAATTATGAGGCCTGACAACTTCAAGAACAAAACAACATACACGATCTTGAGCACATTTAAAATGTTTAATATCAATATAAGTGGGTACATTTACTTTCATTGTCTATGCCTAGACATGAATTAGTATACTAAATGAATTTTGAAAATTAATATTGCAAGTCAAATGTCATCACGTACTTGGAGTACTATTTTCCTATTACCATTACATATATTTGAAGCCATGTTAAAAATATTGATGACAGAACATTATTGAATCATTTGAATGATTAAACAACTAACATGTTTCTCCTTTTCAATATTTTAAGAAACTATCATAAAACTACACCAAAGCCTTCCTTCCCTCTCACTTTTAAATAAAAACTCACAAATGTAATATTTTCTCCTTATAATAAATCTCCAACTGTCTAGAATTTTAATTTGAGAAGAAAATACAAGTGAATCATTAACACAAACCTCAGAAGCACAAGAAATGTAGTGCAAAAAACAATAGTATGATTCATTGATAGTTTAAGTCTAAGTTTCCATTGGTGTGGAGGGAGGGGGGGGGGGGCTGCCTCCCCCTTTTGCTGGGAGGGACCTTGACCCCACTGCCCCTGCCCCTCAGAAATGAGGAAAGTAGCCTCTGAGCCTTACATAATGCATTTCATTTCCATAAATACAATATATCCCGCATTCCTCATTTTTTACCCTGACAATTTTGGAAATAGTTATACCGTCAGAAGTGGCTATCTTAAGTCCTGGTCCTAGTATGGTAACCCTTTGTAAATAGACAAATGCAACGTCTAATGTCTTTTTATAAATTGTATCATTAAATGTCATAATTTCTTCCTATGTTTTATTTATTTACTAATCAAAAAAGACACTTGCAAATTAAAAAAAATTTTGGAAGGTGGGCTCAGAATTATTTTTGGGGACTTCATGTTTTAAATTGTGCACATTGCATGAAACTCAATATACTAAAGAAACACAATAAAATGTCCTGGTGATGTCATGTGATTTACTACTTACCTTGCATCATTTGAAACTCAGGACAAGATTCAAATAAACTATCTGTCCCATTAGAACAACAATGATAGTTGTAGTTTTCTTTTATATCCCAAATGTTTGCAGATCTAAAAATATCTTCCAAAGAAAGGTCTTCAAAACTGCGTTCATCTGCAATTATTCAACATTTCACAACAGTGAAATACTTGTGGACGCCTTAAAGGGAAGAATTTTTTTTACCTGCACCCCAAAATGGGGCTCCTATCTTCTCTACAAGAGGCAATGTATCAGGTCCATCTGTATTCATGGTAGTAGATGTCATTTTCCTGTCAGACCTTTGGCTTTGGCAAAGTGATTGAGTTTTACAAGGAGTAGAAGCACCTAGAAAATGATTTTTTTTTTAACGTTAGGAAGTTGCAATTTTTAATTTTGTAACTGGAGACTTCTAAAACATTAAAAAATATTATAATTGTTATAATTAATTTCACAGTTTTCTGTTTCAGAGGCTATTCTTGAAAAAAAAACTTTCATTTAAGTGTGATAACACAATTTGACAATATAAAATTGAGTTGCAATGGATATAATTACTTCAAAATTAGCAACAACAACTAAGCATCATTCCCACTCACAGTTATTCACATTTTCCTTATTCTTCCCTTCATAAGATGATAAAACAAATTTCTGTTGAGAATTTTCATCAAAATAATTGTTGACCAAATTCAAATCTTGAATAAGATTATTTGATGATGAACTCTGTTCATTATTCTCTTTTGAAGTAGTAGCACAATTTTCATCATATATGATAAACTTTTTCTTGATGTTAGTCTTATTACCAATAGGTTTATTTATTAAAGTACTTCTTGGTGTGTCTAACAACAGAATTGAAAAAAGGAAACAGGAAAATTTTAGTGGTAAAAATGTTGTAGTTTACATGACAATGAAACACAAAATAATATAGTTTGGGAATTAAAAATAATGTAAACCTACTTACCAGTATAATATTAGCCTTATTACATAAGCCTTCTTACATAATTAATTTTTTGTTGATTCTTTTGATTAAGGACACTCAGATCACTAAAACTACTGTTTATTAAATAAAGAACATTTGCTTTTTAAACTGTATTTTCAATTTTATGTTTCAAATTCAACCATTGAATACTTCAGTTGAACTGTGATATATGGTACTATATATTAAATTTATAATAACAATAAGTTGAACAATGAGTAGCACAAAATTATAAGAAAATAGCTCACCTTGTGTCAACTTGGTAAAATGAAATTCAAAAACAATTTCCATTCCATAATTAATTATATTTATTAATTTCTGTGTTTTTTTTTTTTTTCCATGATTATTCTTCACAAAGTTTTTAAAAAAATCTGTACAGTGTTTTATTCATTCACTGATGTTCCAACTTATTCAAAATACTTTTAGTAATATGATTGACTTTAATCATCAGAATCCTATATTAATTTACTGAAGTTTATTGCACAATCATTTATTTATAAATAAAAATTAAAGCTACTTACAGCTCGAGCTCCAAGAAGAAAGATTTCGAGACCTGGACGAAGCCGGAGTTCGTTCAGCGCATAAATTAACATTCAACGATTCAGTTTTAGTAAAGTGTTCGCTAATGCAGATTCTTGGCGTAGTCTTTTGAACATTAGCTTTTGTAACGTCCACTGACTTATTCAGAACTTGAAGAGGAGTCCGGGGACGAGATGCACTTCGGCCTACGCTGTTTTCTTGCCTTTCACGTTGAAATGCATTTTCGCTAACCTTCGTGAACTTTCTCGTTTGGGTATCGAAATATATATCAGGAAATGGGCTATTCGAATCGCTCTTGGATCTGCATTTGTCCCACTTGGGAACTAAGTAAACATAAGCAAATCAATTATATAATTCACTAGGAACCAATGAAAAACTACATAGCTGGAGAGTAGTTACCCTTTAACTTCACACGCTCGTTCCTTTGCCGAACAGGAGTCCAGAATTCAGCAAACATGTAGCTCATATTTTCGAATGAATCCATCTTCAGAAACGTCTTACAATATGTTCCGAAATGATTATCGGCCAGCACCAGACTGCACTTCAACTGGACTGGACAAGCTTCAACCTCAGCGCTCACCCAGGAAGAGTCGACTACAGGTAGAGTAGAGAGTACAAGATAACTACACTTTATAGAAGGTACTGAATTTACACTCTATGCTCTTTGCCGAAGCCCTCAATTACACTCCTTTCCTTATTTCTTCATTGGAATGTAGGTAATGATAGTGATATATCAATATTAATTTCCAATGTGCGCAAAGTTTAGAAGAAAACTATGCCGGATCTGGCAATGTGAGAGGGGCCTATGGTTTTGTTAGGTACCTATGAACTCAGGAAAACATCCCCAAAATGAATCAGTTTCGATTTTGACTGAAAAGTACAAATATTTGATTGTGTTATTCAGGACCGGCAATCGGTGTTAAGTCCGAGTGGGTAGCTGAATAGGTTCTATACCAACTATTACTATCTCCCTCGCCCTACTGAAAATAAATATGAAGTGAAAAATGCAAAACATATTTTTTCTCAAATTATTGTTTCTTGTTAAATTGTTATTATATTAATTTTATGTAACTTCATTTTTGCAAAGCAAAAACACTCCAGAGTTTGCATTTTTACTTTCCCATATACATACGTATACACGGAGTAATATACGTAGTATAGAGAAAGTTATGAAAGGCCCCTTATACAGAAAAAGGGTTTTTTCATAACGTCCATCCGTTTAATCGTCCGAATCGTCTACGAACACCACTAGCGCCTAAACCATATGTAAGATTTTTCCAAAATGGATATTCCCCGGTCGATCTGGCTCGACTCGAGGCGCTATGCTTTTGAAAAACTTTCTTCAAAATCGCGGGTACTTTACACGAAGGCCTGCGACATTTTCATTTCTAAAATAAAAAAAAAAATAAAAAAAATAAAAAAAATTAAAAAAAAAAAAAGGCTCCAAATGTTTACTTCCCCGTATCGCTATATAGTATTTCAGTAAAACTCTTGAGTGTGCAGATGTGCATTTTTGCGGTTCCGTCACTGGACTAGACCACCTTCCGTGCACCAATCGAAACATAAGATGTCATTCGACGCGTCTCGACCTCCTAATACTTGAACTAATAATTGGTTGTCGGATCCAGCAAGAAAATTTAAAGAAATGTCCAAAACGTGCCTTTTTCGTGTTTTGACGCTGCGATCTTAGTGATAATGCCAGGAGTTGAACCAACGACTCCTAAATCGATCTATGTATGTGACGTTGACCACAACCCAAAGGCATTTTTCGCTTAATCTCAAGTTGTATGCGGCATCCCAAGATGTATGCGATTGTACTCCCTCTAAATGTATTATATTTGACTCGCCATACATGATTGTAATAGTATATGTGATTCAATAAATATTATTATTATTATTATTATTATTATTATTATTATTATTATTATTATCAATACGGCATAATTTTCTTTCACGGTGTTGGCAACACTGATGTTGATATCATTAAGTGAACAATTGAATTACCAAGTAAATCGCGCTGCTCTTTGATTTCAATTTAGAGTCGTATTATTATCGTATTTTAAAATATAAATTTGCGAAAACTTACGAACAAAATTGTCTCGGAACTTAATGAACTTGAAGAATTTGAAGTGAATATGGAGAAAACAAAACTGCTAGATAATGAATGAATGTTATGTTCGACTTCGCTCTTTTACTTTCTTACATACGTTTGCAAATACCGATTTTCAAATGAATGTGATCCACAACTACCCTTCAACTAAACTAAAACCTTATTCACATAAACATAAAAAACAGTCACCTTTTAATGTTAAATTCTCATGCAACGCTAGATTTGCATACAAAACGATAAATAGAGCAAATACAGAAGTAGAAGTGAAAATAAATTAAACTGAGTTTGTAAAGTTGTTTTCTCTTTAAAAAATAAGGTGACAAAAATATGGAAGATTTAAGGAAATCCAGGGAAGAATCAAATGTAGTTGTAAAAGATATTTTGATAGAATTTTCGAAACTAATGGGGGATGATATTCATTTATCATTTGTGCTAATGTAAATGTGCTATGTGCATTTTTGTGCGTATTAGCAAAAAAGTATAAAAATGTACTTAAATTTAACTATTAGCATCAAAATTTGCAATTATTTGTTACGGCGATTATAAATTTGAAATTGTAATAAGACCAGTTCCTATCCCGTATGGAGGTACACACAAGGCCATTGGATGTTTGGGAACTTTTGAACGGGAGATTAACATTATCAAACCTGCTAAAGCAGGAGGCCTTTGCCCTTTATGGGATGTTGTAGGCTTATTATTATTATTATTATTATTATTATTATTATTATTATTTATCCATTTCTTTCATGCCAAGATTTGTTCAAATATGTTCTTTCAGTATCTGGCGTTGGACTTACCAATGAATCGAAGTAGCTGATGTTATAATAATAATAATAATAATAATAATAATAATAATAATATCACATCAGCTACTACGATTCATTGGTAAGTACAACGCCAGGTACTGAAAGAACACATTTGAACAAGTCTTGGCATGAAAGAAATGAATTATGAAAGAAATGTTTCTACACTTGAACAGTTAAAACAGTTTCCAGCGTCGGCGACGCCACATTTTGCTAGCACGAAGTAATATACATAACATAGGGAAAGTTATGTAAAACTGCGCGAAAAACAGCGCTTTATCGACAGAAAAAATTCATTGCCGGACCCTGATCACGAAAAAGTGGATACATACAGTTGCTAAATTAAGAAAAAAAATCCTCTAATACGTGGTGAAGTCAGAATTCCTGTTTTGTGGGTCCTTGATACCGAAAAATCAATTGATGGTAAAACGATCGTCCGTTCGTCTGTCTGGTGTATGTGAACAACATTAGCGACTAAACCAGGCGTACAATTTTTTTCAAACTGAATAAACTGCTGTCAATTTGGTCTGAATCAAACCTCTGCGATTTTGGAAAATATTCATTAATTTTTGGGAGTTCTTTATAAGAAACGGAAACACTACGGACATTTTCAAAATTTTCTCAAATATGTCTCCAAATATTTTTCTATAAATTTCTCGTAAGAAGAGAGTAAAATACACTAATAAAAGTTGCTCAGGTCTGCTTTTCATGGTTTACTCTGAATTTTCGAAAATATCGAAACTAGCAATTGTTTTCGGTGTCTTCCTACAACTACAAAATTAAAAATAGAGATTTTTCTTTCAAATGAAATTTGTTTTCCATAATTAGTTCTTTTATTAGGCAATGTACAATTTTTAAAAATTTTAGTCGATTTCGTGCGATATTGCGTGTAATATTTGCAATATTAAAAATAACAAAAACAAGTTTTCTCAAAATTGGCTCCAAATTTGTTCTTTAAACTTTTGGTAGGGAGAGTGATAAATGTACTCTATGAGATGACAAACATCAGTTTAATGTATTCTTATGTTGTTGTTTTTTCAAAAATTATAAAAATGAATTTTTTTTACTTGACTGTCACGTCGTTAATATTTAATTAGATCTCTCATGTTGATAATATGCACATTTCTAGCAATTTTGTAAACGATATTGTATTTGTGAGTTAAAGTACTTCAAAATACTTTAAATGAAGATTTTTGAAAACTCAAAAATTTTTCTGAAAAAGAGCTTTAAATTTTGAATTTACTCTAGCGCTTAAAAGCGGTTGTCCGGCACACGATTACATAATTTTCTCTTCTTACGAAGTATTGTAAAGCGAGAAAGTAAAAACGCTTCTCCATTCGCGAAAGGCGAAGGAAATGCCACGGTCTCGGAGTCATTTGAGGCGAGGGAGAGTCTGCTCGACGAGGTAGCGCAAACCGCGTTCGTGCGGTTTCAACAAATAAGCAGACTGTGGTATTACTCGCCCAACATTTCTTGAACGATGACCTCGCTTCCCCCTCTCTGACACAGTAAACAGTTGAAGGCAAAAGCTCGCAGCGAGCAATTATGACAATCCAAACACATCTTAACTGGCGCGAAATAGAAACAATTTTCTTTTGATGACCAGAACTTCTGTCTGTTAATTTTTCAAAAAAATCTAAAGAAAAAATGGAAGAAGATAAAGATCTATGACAGGAGATACTTGAAACTCATGAGAAAGTTAGAACCCAAATTGTTGAGAAAGTTGCGAAGGCGTGACTGATTCAATTACCCCCATCTCGATCAGGTTTTCGTCCATTTTCCCTGATCCTCGAGCAAATGCTGAGATGGCCCCTTGTTTTGCTTCTGGACATATATGTAACTTCAAATGAACTTCTCCCCACACACACACCCTTCCCCCTTCACACACAATTTTTAACTGTTTCGACGTAAATAAATAAATAAATTCTTGATTGACTTTGCTTCATAAAATCTAGTGGACGATTTCGTAACAAATACCCTCACTCTGCCCGCATTTCTTCAATCCATCGTTCAAGAAAAGTTGCCCGAGTTATACCATCACCTATTACTTTTACTCTTACTCACTTAATTTTTACAAAATTGTGATGAAACGAATTTTTCATTCTCGAATAAAACACCGAAAATGTTAAAACGTGCAGCTCAATACATCGACTTCAATACATCGATAGTTTGATATTGTATAGAAAGATCGTTATTTTGAAAGCATAGGCATCGAAGCCGCATCCCTTCTGGGAGGGGCGGCGCGTTGGCTGGCAGAGCGCCAGGCAGCGCGGGGAAATTAACGGCTGCGTTTTATTCGCGCGACCGTAAAACGGCGGTGGCGCTGCGCGGGCGCCCTCTGGGGAGCGGGAGAGAAATGGCCCCGCGAGGGAGTAAGCAGCTGCTCATCTTCCCGAGATGAGGAAGATTTGGCGCAACAGCTTACTCATCTATGTGGATAAAATTGGAGTGGCTGTCCGTGAATTCAAAATAACTGCCGGTGGCGGCTATTGCTTGTTACTTAAGACTAGGAAAGAAGTAAAATGCATAAATTAATTTTAGTCAAACATACAACAAATTAGATAACTTGCAATGGGATAAGAAATACACACAGGTTCGTTTTACTTTCTCGTATACGTATGTATGTATCGAGTAATATATGCAGTATAGAGGAAGTTGTAAAATAAGGCAAAAAATCGATTTCAAGACTTCAAAAAAATGCTAGTAATGTTTTTACTTTCTCCCCTTGTTCTTCTTATCAAGAAAAAGTTATGTAATCGTGCGCAGGAAAACGGCCAATTTTCGACAGAAAAACTCTTATTGCCGAGCCTTTGTGACGAAAAAGTGGATACCTCCAGTTGCTAAATTTAGAAAAACATTTTTAAGACGCGGTGTAGTCAGAATCCATGTCTTATGGCTTCTTTATATCGAAATACGGATTGGCGGCAAAACGTCTGTCGGTCCGTCTGTGATCAACACTAGCGCCTAAACGGTTCAGCCAATTTTTCTCAAAGTTGATATTCTCCAATCGATCTGAATGAAATCGTGGCTTTGGGAGTTTCAAACGGATAGTTTGATTTTAAGGGTACTTCATACTTCAAGCATATTTTCAAAATTTTCTCAAAAACGGCATCAGGTTTTTAAATCAAACTTCGTCTTAGGTTAGCGTAAAGAAAACTTAGGAGATTAGTGGTCTCTTTTTCATCGAAATCACAAATTGTATAAAAACTGGATTTTTTGGGGGCATCTTCCTAAAACTATAATAAGAAAGATATAGTTGTTTCCTTAGTGAAATCTGTTCCTTAAACACGGATCTTTAAATAATTTCAGGGTCAACTTTTCGAAAATATGAGTAGATTATGTGTAATATTGGCAATTTTTCTCAAAAACTGCTCCAAGTTTTCCCTTTAAATTTTCTAGTAAGTAATAATACGCGGCAAAAATTTGTGGTAGTCCCATTTTTGGCTATTGTTTTGTTTTTTCGAAAACGCCAAAAAGTAAACATTTGAAAACTACAAAATTGGAGATACCGATTTTTACTTTACACAAATTGTTGTAAAAAATCAGCTCGATAAAAATCAGATCGATAGTGCTAAACGCACTCTGTAAGTTACCATAAAAATAATTTTTCTGTATTATTTTGTTTGTTTGTTTGTTTTTTCAAAAATTACACGAATGTAATTTTTTTAATGTTTTTTACGCCGTTAATATTCACATTTCCAGGAATTTGTACACATTAGTGCATTTGGGGTCAAAAGTGCTTCAAACGACGTCCATTGAGATGTTTCGAAAACTTAAACGTTTCCTCTGAAAAATAGCTTCAAATTTCGCTTTTACAGTTAAACCTAAATGCCACTTTATTACAGCTCCAAATTTTTGAACGTAAATTTCCTTATAGCTCGAGATTTTACTCTTCTATAACGTTCTTAAAGTAATATTTCGATTATACTATTAGGAAACTAAAATGTAGGCAGAATTTGGTGCACACTTTCTCACCCTTAGTAATGGTTACGTAAAACTATTCATACCGCAATTTCTCTGCGAATTAACACATCTCAGTCATAATTTTTTTATAAAATTCTTTACAAATTGTAGAACATTAGGTGCAGGGTTCTCGACCTGTCGACAACAGACCCAAAAGGCCTTTTGTGACAACACACAAACATGAAAGACAATAGACAACAACTATGCTCACGGTGGGACACGAACTGGCGACCCTTCAGACCGAGGCGACGAGTTGGTGACAATATTATAACAACAATTACAACAATTTCATACAGATCAATTATGTCCCAACAATGAGACGTAATTCACAGAACTACAGCTGCCATCTCTTAGGGCGGAATGCCATTGTCGCATTCCAATCTGATGTTTCCTTAAGGCTAGCAATTTTTCTATTACATAACATGTAAATCGTATTTTAAGAAAGAAAACCTAATTGGGCTAATTTCAATTAAGGTTTGCGGATTGCTTGAAAGAAAATGTATCAATATATTAAGAATGCAAATACATTACTCGCAACACATGCAAAATATATGGAATATCAAATATGATTTAAGTAATTTCTAAAAGATTAATTTAAAAGTGTAATAAAAGCTCGAATGTAAGAAACGAAAAAACAAATATGAACTAATGAACAAATTCTAACCTACGTAATCTCCAAACGCATCCATTACGCTATCTAAGGTCAAAATTTAATAACAAAATATTGTGCCTTTTTTAAGAAAAAAAATTGATTTAAGAAAATACAAAATTGCCTATATTTGACATACAATTAAGCAAAAAATACTCATATTTTGGAAAAATTAAACATGACATTATTTGAAGATGTTTTCTATAAACACATTTCATTAAGAATAAAATGTTTATCTTCATAGCTGTAGTTGTAGGATGACGCTGAAATAAAAGTTGAATTTTAGCAAATTTCAAAATTCAGAATTTTTAAAGAACATGTAACTTACATCGTTCTCTTAAGAGTTCTATACGCTATCACCGATCGAAATTTAATCAAAATTGTTAGTGCCGTTCCTAAGAAAAAAGTTTTTTAAATAATCTTACAAAATGCCCTTATTTCCCGCAAAATTACGCGAAATGTACACAAATTTTCGTAAAACCGTACATACCTTATTTCAAAATCTATGTTTAAGAAATAGAATTTATTAAGGAAAAATTTTTAACTATAGTTGTAGGAAGAGGTCGAAAAAATGTTTTGCAATTTTCGAAAAATTAGTTTTCAACGAAAATGAGACCTGCACCATTCTTTTAAACTCCTTCACACTATCCCACAAACAAAATTTAATACAAAGGGATGGAGCCATTTTTTAAACTATTTAAAATGTCCTAGGGCTTCATGTAACATACCCTCAAACTTAATATTTCGACTTCAAATTGAAGGAACTGTGACATCAGGCAGATCAATTGCGGAATATCAATTTTGCAGAAAATCGGTTGTACGGTTTATCCACTACCGTTGTTCACACACAGGCGGACAGACAGGACAGACCTTTCGCCGTCTATCGATTTTTCAGTATCAAGGTTCCACAACACATGGATTGTGGCTACATCAGGTGTTAGAGGATTACCCCCTAAATTTAGCAACTGGATTCATCCACTTTTTCAAAACCAGTGTCCAGGAAAAGAGTTTTTGTGACGGATATTCGCCTTTTTTCCTGCAGCATTGCATAAGTTTTTCTCTACTGCGTAAGCGGTTGCCAAAAAGAAAGAAATTGATGAATGCTGAACATTAACTTTCTCCGGACTCAGCCATCACCATCGTCCATAAATCTTTCTTAAAAACTGAAGTTTTGCTCTTCGTATGGCAACGGTGACGAAATTTTCTGTAACTGGAGCAGTTAACGGGTCTGTGGCGTAACATTTCGAGTCAAATTGTTTTTATCTTGCGCTGTATTGCAGTGTTGTACTATAGTTCTAGCTTCTTTTCTTTCTTTTTTTAAAATTTCGCACACTTTACAGAGAAAGAAACAGAACAGTGCCATCGGTATTGAAAAGGTTATCACAAAAATCTCTCACAAATACTCTCAATTTTTCATTTACTGAACCGTCAAGATTTAGAGATGATGAACTGGGAGGGTTCGCGATCAAACACAAACATCGCGAATTTGTTCAGTAACTGAGCCTTCTGTACCTTTCTATCACATCTAATGGTGCCCCATTAAGACAATTCTACCTGCTTAAGTTATTTGCTTAAGTTACCTGGTAAAGCAGCTGACCTTAACAAAGAAAAAATGAGATTAATGCTTCCTTCGCAACTGGTGCATTCTACGTAGCTGTCTCTTTGTACACAGTGGCAATTTTCAGCGAAAAATTTAAAGCCGTTCTAAAGAAAATGGCGTTTGAGCTCGAATGTAAATGCGAAATTTCAAGCACTTTTTCACAAAAAGTTTTGAATTTTCAAAAAAACTTTATTGGCAGTCATTTGAAGCACTTCCACTCACAAATGCAATAGAGTTGACAAATCACTGGATATGTGCAAATGAACGGCATGAGAGATATTTTTAAAAACATTTCATTTCTGTAATTTTATTAAAAAATGCCTTCAAAATAGCCCAAAATAAACCCAAAAAGGCATATTACACAGTCGAATTAGCTCTATCCATTCAATAAAAAATTTGGAGCCGTTTTTGAAAAAATGACTGAGCGTTTCTGAAAATGCGAATTTTGAGATCATTTTCACAGAAAACTGTTGAGTTTTACAGAAACATTACATTGCATTATTTAAATCCTACTCATAAATACAATAATGTTAACAAATCGCCGCTATTGGAAATATTAACGTCATGAGAGACAACTCAAAAAAATACATCTTTCTAATTTTTGAAAAAACAAGAGAATAGAGCATTATTACGTTCAATTCATCTTATAAAGTACTTTTAGCACTATCCCTACCAAAAGTTTAAAGAAAAAAATTGGTGCCTTTTCGAGAAAATATTTTTTTAAAATTTTTTTTAATTGCACATATTGCATGCAATATTGCGAAACATTGTGAAAACTACTACTAAAAGTTTCAAAAAACTGTACATGACCTTAACGAAAGAACCACATATACGGAAAAAAAATTTTGAACGAAAAATATCTATCTTCAATTTTCTAGTTGTAGGAAAACGCCGAAATAATTTCAAAATTTTGCAATTTTCAAAAATTCAATTATCAGTGAAAATCGTATCTATGTCACCTTTATACATTTATTTCTCTCTATTCTTACAAGAAATTTAAAGAAAAATGTTGGAACTATTTTTGGAAATTTTTGAAAATGTGCCAGCAGTTTCATGTAAATTATCCTCAAATTTCAAAGAATAGTTTTCTCAAAACTTTGACTCGATCCAGATCGACAGGGGTTCCTTCGATGTGTAAAAGATCCTACGCATGGTTTAGGCGCTAGTGATGTTCACAGGCGGACGGACGGACGGACCACGTTTTGACGACAATTGATTTATTCGGTATGAAGAACCCACAGAATAGGGATTCTGGCTACAAGTGTTAGCGATTTTTTTTCTAAATTTATCAACTGGATTTATTCACTTTTTCGTTATAAGGGTCCGGCAATGAGAGTTTCTACCGAAAATCCGCCGTTTTTGGGCAGCAGCATCATATAGTTTTCTCTCTACTACGTATATTACTTCGTATATACGTACGTATATGAGAAAGTAACCTTGAGGTGCCACAAAATGGCACCACAAGGTTACTTTCTCGGTACCACAGTATTAGTTTTCTATTTCCTTTGGTCTCGGCTAGCTATTCGAACTTGCCGCATACACTTGCTTCCTGCCATCTATCGTCGCTCAAAATACATTTTATGAAATTTTCTTAATTTTTTTCATTTTCTATTAATAGAACGGAAATATTATTATAATAACATTCAGAACAGTTCGTCCTGAATGGAAATTTTCTTTGAAAAAATTGGAGCCGGTATTTAAAAAATGGGGCTTGAGCGATACAGTAAATTCGAAATTTCAATCTCTTTTTTAAAAAAAAAGTTTTGTGTTTTAGAAAAACTTCATTTGAAGACTTTGAAGCACTTTAACTCACCAATACCATAGTGTTTACAAATTGCTGGAAATATGTATACTACCGGAGTGAGAGATATTAAAAAAAAAATCTTGTTTTGACATAAAACGATAAAGTTATCGAGAAGCTGTTTATAACATTATTTAAAGCATATGTACTCATAAATATAATAATGTGAACAAATTGCCGATAGTGTAAATATTGACGAGAGAATGTCAAAAAATTTTTGCAATTTTTATAAAAACAATAGCATTGAGCAATATGGTTTGTATGTTGTGCCATTGGGTGCACTTAGCAGAATCCCTACCAAAAGATCAGAGAAAAATCTTGTTACCGTTTTTGAGAAAATCTTTTTTTTTTTTTTGTAATTTTTTAAAATTGCTCAAATTGCACGGAATATTGCACGAAAACTACTAACATATTCAAAAAAAATTACAAAACCTTAATGAAAGAACAAATTACGGACAACAAATTTTATTGGAAGGATTTTTGTTATCTTTAATTTTGTAGTTGAAGGAAAACCCCGAAAAAATTTAAACTATTGAAATTTTCGAAAATTCAGACTTAATCAGAATGAAACACAAAATAAGATCAGCCGAATGTGGGGCGTAAAGGCACAGGTCGTTCCGATAGTGATCGGAGCTTTGGGATTTGTTTCGCAAAATTTGTGTAAGAACTTTGCTCAACTCCCAGGTCATTGAAAAGACTGGGAAGTTCAAGACATTGCTTTATTAGGACCTGCCATTTTGCGTAGAGTATTGTAGAGGCACCAACAGTGTCTAAATATGTTCCTAAGGATGTTCGTTGGCCCCCTGAGTAGACTTTGTAATCGACTCATAACATATTTTGTCGTGAATTACAAAAAAATACAATAACAATAATAATAATAATAATAATAATAATAATAATAATAATAATAATAACTATAATAACAAATTTGACTTAATCCGTTGTCTCTCTTAGGGAGGTGCGGAGTTACTGATGGTATAATTCCCAGAAGGCAACATTAGGATGGCCCTTATTTTTCAACTTTCGAAAAATTGGGCTCTCACCCCTTATTTTGTTTCAATAAATAAAATAAAATAAAAAAACAACAACAATACTTGCAAAATTTTAGCTCAGTAGGACCGTGAAGTTTTGAATGTACGCTATGTGAACTTTGTGATGCGGTTTTTAAATCTTATTATATTATTTATTATACTTACAATAATATATAGTTATTTTATAGTCCCTCCATTTTAATGTTAATGTTAATGCTAAAATAGATAATTGTATTATTATTATCTTCTTCTTCTTACTTTTATTTTAGGCTAGAGCCTGTTTCTTTACAAAGGATACTTAATTAAAATGTTTTTAAAAAAAACTGATACTTACATTTATGTAGACATATTTATATATTGGCACTATATTCATGCTGTCTTGTTTCACAAAATGTCTTTCCATCTAGTTCTTGGACGTCCTACTCTTCTCTTTCCTTCCGGTCTTCTATCTCTAGTTACTTTCACCAGACTGTCTTTTTCCATTCTGTCTATATGTTCGTTCCATTTCTTTCTGCTTTCTCGAACCCAGTCTGAGATTATATCTATTTGCAAGTTTTTCTCATATTAATATTAGGTTCTTTATCCCTTATCGTTTTATTTGTATTTTTTCTCAGCACCTGCATTTCCGACACTTCCATCATTTGGCATATATTTTTTTGAGTCTGCTCTCGTTTCAGCTGCATATGACAATACTGATCTAATTACTGCCTTATATATTCTAATTTTAGTGTCTTTTCTTAGATATTGATTTTGCCATATCGAGTGGTTGAGACAGCCTGCTATTCTATTTGCTTTTATGCTTTGTTCGTTAGCCTCTTTTATAGATCTGCCATCGCTAGTTATTGTTATGCCTAGATATTGTATTTCCATCACTTTCTCTATTAGGTATTCGTTTATAGCTAGTTTGCAGCTCAATGGCTCTTTCGAGATTGTTATGCATTTAGTTTTTTGTGTGGATATCCTCATGTTGAATGACTGACATGTCTTGTAGAATTGAAACAGGAGGCGTTGTAAATCATCTTCGCTTTCGGCCATTAAGACTGTCTCGTCTGCATAACAGATTGAGTTTATGTTACAAGAGCCGAAGTAATATCCTTTTTTGTTCGAAAGATTGTTTAGGATGTGTTTCATTACCAGGTTGTGAAGAGTATTGGGTTGAGGGAGTCTCCTTCTCTTATTCCTTGACCTGTTGTTATAGCTTGGGATATTTGTTCGTTATGTTTTACTTTCATTCGGTGTTCATATATATATATATATATATATATATATATATATATATATATATATATATATATATATATATATATATATTAATTACTTCAAGAATGTTTAAGAAAGTGTTGTGAATTGTTCCAAGAAATCTGTCGAAAATACTGAATAAATTTTTATTGAAAATTTATTTTCAACATCAATTGCATTGTTGTTTGTTTTTTGATATCGAGTTTGGCGCGCCACAAAGAACAAACATTTTAAATTAAATAATCTTATGGTGTCGGTTCGCAAAGATAATCAATACGTAAACATCATTTGAGCAACATTCCTATGTACAGAAGTGAAGTCTAAGTCTATTGAATTATTTCTAATGATAACAAAAGGTATTTATATCTCAAAGGTGAAAATATTAGTTTTATTATTTTTTGTCTCGGAATTGCTTTTCTTCAGGTACGTAATAACGCAGAAATAATCCAATGCATTTTAGTAAACAAGTAATTTTAAATTTTCGCACCCAGCAAGCTGGCACCCTTCCCTTCCAAAAACCTCATAACAAATTCAGGAAAGTTAAATAATATTGCGAAGAGCAGGGTTGTACTTACCCGATCCTGTATTTTCTCGTGGAAACCTTTACTTGGCTTTCTCAAGAGTAATAACCTTTTGTAATATTTTTATGACTATCAAGGAAAGTGACAAGCTAACTGTCAAGGAAGAGTTGAATAATTACTTCAAATGTTGTTTTTAACAAAATGTAAATTGTTCGAAGAACATATCTATATAATAAATCTTTATTGAAAATTTGTTTCCAACGTCAATTGCATGTTTTTATTTTTGTTGTACGAAGTTACTTTTATTCATTTTTTAAAAAAAATAAACACGTTCATTTACTTTTCTTCTTAACGGAAAGAATAGGGAAATGGGTAGTGAAAGTGTGGGTATTAACATACGAAAGTATCGCACGGGTACGTTAGGTGGTATTATTATTATTATTATTATTATTATTATTATTATTATTATTATTATTATTATTACTGCCACTACAGCCTCGTACGTCTGCCAGTAACTACGAATTCGTTTATTTGTGTTTTGTTTTTTAAGTCGCTTCTTAACAACTTGGTCATATAGTGGCCACTGTGATTGTTTTAACTGTAGGTGGAACTATAGGAACAACACGAATACACAAACATCCAATGCTCAAGGCGGGATTCGAACCTGCGACCCTATGCAGTTTCGGACCTACTCGGCTACTCGTAATACTTTGTGCTACGCGAAAGGAAATTTGTCTCCAAACATTCTTGCACTACACAATTGAGCATGAAGCTCAGGAAAATTTTTATTTACGGCGAAAATTTTCAGAACCCGAAAATTTTCAGTTTGCTCAAACTCTATGATGTATGGGAAGGTTTACAAAAACGTGTAACTAGAATTTAGCCTATGAAGGAAAGGGCAAGGAAAAAGAAAACAGATATATACCGGAAAAATATCTGGATTTTTTTGACATAGCTCATTCACATACTTCAAGAGGATACCAAACAATATCAAAATCAAGAGGATAAGAATTTTTGTGTGCTTCAGGCCGGAAAGGACAACCTGGTTACATAGCGGGTGTAGATCAAAAACTGAAAGTCAAGGAAGAAAAAGTGCGGGAACGCACTACAATGGAAATTAACAGGATAAAAAGAACTTGCGGAGAAATGGAACGACAAATCGCTGCTCATCTGATTGCTATGTCAGAAACTGAGGATTCAACATCAAGCCGGCAAGAAAGCGATGGACATTTTTTTTCTGACACCGTTCAGCAAAAATTAGCCAGAGCAGCAACCGCAAACGTTCCAGAAAATCGAGGTACGTTGCAATTTTTTACTCTTCGTATTTTTGAAGTTTTTGATAAATGAAAGGACACTGATAAACATTGAGTTTACAAATTAATGGCTTTCTCGTAAGCTTTTGGGCAAAGCCAACACCACCTAGATACTATATCTAGGTGGTGTTCCACCTAGATACTATATCTAGGTGGTGTTGGCAATGCTCACCTCGATATCTTTGCTATAACCCCATTGTTGCTATCGCCCATACTTATAATTACGTAAGTTTATTATTCCCATTTAATATCTTTATAAACATTCGCAGTATACTTTATTGTATTTTAGAGTGGAAGTGGTTTAAATGACTCCTAGTGAAGCTTTTTGAAAACTCAAAAGATTTCTTTGAAAAACAGCTTCATATTTGCATTTACAGTAAAGCACCAACGCCATTTGCATTTACAGTGGAGCAAAACCGCTCCAATGTTTTCAACGATAATTTCCTTGTAGGACGAGCTTTTACTCTTTCTTAATGTTCTTAAATTAATATGCCGGAAACCTAAAAATTGAAATACTTTCAAAAAATGTACTTTGGGCGGCGATAGATCGTAGATGGCAATAGTACTAAAACCAAGAGTGCTGTGGCAAGTCCGAAAAGCTAGCCCAGATCAAAGAAAGTATACAACTAATTATACGAGTTAGTTTGTGAAATTCTGTTTCACCCCTATGTGACTAATAAATTGAATGTCAAATCACTGTGGTCGGGATATATAATAAAATGTAGGGATCTTACACTTGAGATTTTATTTTTTGGCGAGTGAGGGCTTATCTTCACGATCTCACGACATTTCGCTTCCTCTGGAGTGCCGCTAGATGTCGTATGATCGCGACCATATCGAATAGTGCTAGCGGTCATGCGATGTTTAGCGGCACGTCCGAGAAAGACGCGAAATGCCGTGAGACATTTCATCATGAAGATAGGGTCTCACGCAGAAAGAAATAAAAGCTCAAGTATACATCACCAACCACGGTGTAAGATATTTCTTTCATCGTGACGGAACGAAATTATATAAAAACAGTCGTTCCTAAAACCGTTCTTTGATTCGTTCTAATGAACTATAACAAGTGTCTGTGACGAACGATAGCTCAGTACCGGTTTGTTTGTTGTCCTTAGGATTTGTATGAATTGAGTGTTGTGGTGTTTCTGTTTAATGTGGTCAATTATATATTGTGATCAATGGAAAAAATTGGAGAAGTTTTAATCATGTGTTAATTTTAATGATTAATGTATTACTTATTCTTGAAATTTTGTTGAATGTGCTCGAATATTTAAAGTAAAAATGGAAGTTGATTCTGGGTGAGTAAATGTTTTTATGCCATCGTTTTATTTTCATATTGTTTTTTGTTTTCACTGCCAGAAATGTTCATATGGGTAAGAAACTTGTAGGAGGTAGGAGTGTACTTCCTGTCTGTAAACCATGAAACCATGACTTGTTTATCCAAGAAGTAATGCATCTTCCAGAGTGCTCGTAAAACAATTTCTTGTTCCTATTGAAAATTACTTATTTAACTATCCATACTAAGACATATTTTTTTACATTTTATTCAGAATAAGTTTCCATATTGAAATAATTTAACAGTTCCTTCTGTTGTTGACATTACCCCAAGTCCGAACTATTCACCTGTGTCAAGGCTTTACCTTCAGATATAACAATCATCCCTTAAGTAATAATGAATTAATTACTAATTTTAAAAAGAAAAAGAAGTAAAGTTTTGGAAAACAACTTTTAGTTGTGTTAAATTCAATTTTTCAATTATAACTGTTGTAACAGTTCATATGAAATTTGATAATGAGAACCTAAAGGCAGAATATTGATCCTCTCTGATGAAGGAGTGGACAACGTGAATATAGAATAATATTCCTTTGTGCATTTGGAAGTTACAGAAGGGACCTTTCTTCCTTGTGCGTTGAGCGTAAAAATGTTTTGGAGATGTTGAGCATTGCGTTGCCTGTTCACTATCTCTGTAAATTGAGTAGAGCCAGGATTTTGATGATTTTGCATCTTCTCATTCTTCATAAACACATCTGCTTTGATATTAAATAAATTCTTGGAAGTTTGGAGGTTATTGAGTGTATGCATTTTTTGCCACTTTTAAATTAAAGGACAATTTTGTTTATTTTCTTGTATGTATCATTTAAAAACATTTTTATGTTCTCTTTCTGTTAAAATATCAATATTTTACTTATCTTAATGGCTTGCCATTAATAGAACATTCCAGAAATACTTATTGGAAATTCGTTTGTTATGGGTTGTGGCTGTTTTCGCTAGAGTGTAATTTGCATTTGTAAGTAGTAATTGTGTTGGAGACAAGTGATATTCAAATTTTTAATATCATCTGTTGTAGTGTTTGATTGAAGTATTTTTGGGTGGTAGTATTGGTTGGAAGTAGTTTTCATTGGTAGTATTGGTTGAAGTAGTTTTTCAATTTTCATTCTTGCTGACATTTGTCAATCAAAGCATCTTTGTGACTCAATGTTACTCCATTTTAAAGATTGAATAGATAAATATAAGTTATTAGTCACTGTCTCTGAATAACAAATGTATTAACTAGGGAGAGGATTTTTATGCCCTAAAAAATCTTATAATATAATGCTTTTAAAAATTTGCATTTATAACCCAAAAGTTCTGATATATGGACTTTAATATTCAATTAAAATTAACAATATTTAATTTCCTGTATAAATATTTCTTAATAAAATTTCAGGAGAATCGTGCACATTGTATGTCTTGTTGCATTTCTTTTGCCTGGTTTAAAAACAATGATGTCAAGAAATGTCTTACATTTGAACAGAGAGAAATTCTATAGAGGAATACGGAAAAGCAAAACATCAATATATTTTCATCTTTTAATTACACTTTAATTTTACAATTTGAGCACAGCATTACAAAATGTTACAAAAACCACACGCAAATTGTCAAATATAAAGGCTCAGCGATTTCTATCAACAGGGTATTGAACATCAAAATGTTTTCTTTGCTGTCTATGCATTATTCCTGCATTGTGACAAGGTCTTACTAAGAAATGAATGCTCACAAATAATTAGATTCTATTAAAAGATTAAAACTTTTAGTGATAAGTCTGTATTAATGAAATATGGACTTATAATTACACAAACATGCCCCAAAAGGAAGCATTCAGGTCAATATGCTCTAACTTATTAATGTACAAAGCATCCAATTCTAACCAAATGTCAGTAAAATTCACTTAGCTATACCATGAATCAACAGTCAAAAATATGCAAAATCATAGAAATCCACTACCTAGTAATAATAATACTACCTATTGTTATTAAATAAGAACGGATGTAATAAAAATTATAATAATGATAAATTATTAACATTTATTCTATACTGAGTTATTATATTAAATTTATATAAATAAAATTGGAGTGTTTGTCTGTGATTCAAAATTACTGCAGTTTTTTTATCTCATATTCCTGTTTAGATGAAATTATATTTTTTTTACAATGTTGGTCTGTCTGGGATCTCTAGAATGGCTGACCTGATGTAGATGTGGTTTTAAAAGGAATAATAAGTGTTTGAAGGTATATTAAGGTCCACTTTATTTTATTTTGTTTTCTCTCTCTCTCTCTCTCTCTCTCTCTCTCTCTCTCTCTCTCTCTTTCTCTCTCTCTTTCTCTCTCTCTTTCTCTCTCTTTCTCTCTCTGCTTTTTCTTCTAAAAAATATTGTCATACAAATATACAGTTTTATTCCAATCTTAATATGATTTTTATACATATGACCTTCAAAAGAAGGAAGACATGAATGTCTGCATGAGATTACCCCTTTTGTAGCCTGTAGAGCAACATTTAAGTGTGTCAATAGCATTTCCTCCTAAATGTATTTTGATTCATTCCGAAAGCATAATTCAGCATAGAGTATTTGAAGATAAAAGTTGTTACTGAAGTGTGCCATGAGATTGCAATAGTGCATCAGTTTACAATTAGTCAAAACAACAATGATTATAGCACACAGGCCAGTGCGGGTAAAGTGAGGCAGGATGAAGCAGGGCGTCTCAGGGTTATGAGGACAAGGATGGGACAGAGCTGAGATACATATACACCTTACCTAGAATTCAGTCCTTTTCATGTCTCGGAAATGTGTGTATTTGGCATTTTGGGTCAATTGTCCAACTTAGCTGGCTAGCCAAGTGTCCCCCATGCCTGGGCCTACTATAATTCCCTCGCTTTGGGGGCGAGAGTGACATGTGGCGAACATGATGTATCCCCTTCACTGCAAGTAGTAAACTCTGCCTGCCTGAGCTTCCTCACGCAACTTCAGAAATTGACACAATTTTAAAGGAAAGCTACAACTCAGTTTTTGCGTGACTGAGAATCAAACCCGGGATAGCACCACTGGCTACCCATGAGCTACCTCAGTGCATCAAATAGATTATAACCAGTAAATGTCTGGATCATGCAGGGTACCTCTACTTCTTTTTATATTTCTCTTTAACTGAAATATTTAAAATTAATGATCGTAATTTGAATGAACATGACATATGACTGTACATTTAATTGACATATTTGTTTATTGATTTGTAAAGTTTATAACATTTGCAAAGTCATAATTATTGTGCCTCTAATTAAAAAAAAGAAATTGCTCGTGAATGTTCAAAGGCAGTTGTTGGAGTGAATAAATCATAATGTTTCAAACAAATACATTGTTGTTGAATCAAAATCAATCAAAATGTTATTGATGTAAAATACGTAAAACATTCATAAATCTATTATTGAACATGAACTGAATCATAGCAGTTAAGAAGAATCATTATGTTTAAATGTTTATGACATAAAAATAATATATTATTTATGAATGTAAGATAATTTGATGTTTATGAAAAAACCAATGCTGTTATGTTATTAATATATAAGAGAAAGTTGGGTAAATAGGGAAACATTTTAGTCTCGATAAATTGATTAAAATGACTTAAAGAATTACTGTAGACTAAAGCTAGCCTTCTGATTGATATTACTATTGTAGGTGGTTGTCACAATTAATTAAAGACAAAAAGATGAAAATGACTCTTTAGAATCTGTTTTGACATAATAAGAGCTAAGGATCACATTTTTTTAAAGAACTTCAGAATGTAATTATGCTTCTTTGAAGGAAATACAAAGTCAAACCAATAGGATTCCTGGTTTTCATTGCTATCTCCTGTTTATGGGGAATAATATTATGTCAATTACAAGACTCCTACACATCTTTTTGTAGTGGATTGGATCACCTCAAACCTGTTATTGAACAGGCCCATTGTTGTGTATAGGTTTGACGAAGCCTATTTTTAAGTTGTTAGGAAATACATTTTTATGCTCGAAAAGATGAATAATCTCGTGGCGCTAAAGAATGCCTCAGACTTTCTCTTACGAGTTAGTTTGTTATTCTTAGCGTCTGGGCTAGCCCTTTGGTTTTGCACCCACCATTCTCCCATTGTTACCTGTCTTTGCCTAAAAGTCCTGCCAAGGCTTCCCGTGGAATCAATCTCTCCTGAGGGGACATTTCCAGTGAAGAGCACCTACGCGCCGCATTGACCAATTTTGCCCCTGTATCTTCTCATATCCACGATTCCCTTGGTGTCCTATCTTCGTATAGAGTGAGCAGAGTAGCTGCTTGTGAGAACTAGTGGTGCTACAACCGCATATAGTTATTCGCATTATTTCTAAATTTGAAATTTTCGAATCTTCAGAGAGTTTAAAGAAAATGAGTCCTGTGCCATTATTTTAAGAGTTACTAATTTTATCCACGGAAGAATTAGTAGAAAAATATTGGAGCTGTTTTTGAGAAAATGTATTTCTTGTAAATTGCGTTACTTTCAAGCACAATTTACGCGAAAACTACTCGTGTTTTATATATATATATATATATATATATATATATATATATATATATATATATATATATATAACACGAGTCCTTTTATAAAGAGTTTAAAAAAATATTTTGTTTATGCATATCGATGTTTTTAGAAATATCTCACGTCAATACACCTGTTCCAAGTCTCTGTCTCGGGAGTGCCAATGACTTGATCAAAAAACCTTTGATCATCTGTGTACGACGCTAGAGCCTAAACCGTTCAGACGATTGTCTCTGAAATTCCCGCATCGATCTGGCGGAACTCGAGACCCTGCAAATTTGAAACGAATATTTTGATTTTGTAGGTACTTGATGTGAAGCCTTAACATTTTCAAACTTTTCTCGAAAATTACTACAATTTTTTAGGTGAAAAATTTCCTACAGGGAAGGCTTCTCTCTTCTACGAGGTGTGCCTGGAAAATAAGTTGAATAAATCCTTAA